TTAATAACGTTAAGTGTGTTGACATTCATCTGGGCTAATTTTGTTTGTACCCAAAATTTAAAGGGTATTAGCCAATCAGTAGTGGTTAGATTTTTATTTAACTGATATGTTGTACATCGATATTGGCATAAACATAATAAAATCGGTTTGCTGTTGATTTGATTAGTGAAAAAAGTAATCGGGGTAATCAGTTAGACACAAGTCTATTGTTATTTTTTAAATTTAGGATTCTTTCTAGTAACATACACATCAAATGACTGTTTAACATCTAGTAATGATAAAATTATCAGTAGAACAGGTATTATATGCGATATAAAATAGCTCTTAATCAGTCACTAAATCATTTGCAATTTTTATTAGATATTTCAGAAATTATACTAATAGTTGTAATAACCCGGAGTATAACCCAGAGTATAACCTGGAGTATAACCCGGAGTATAACCCGGAGTATAAAACCTGAAATATAACCCGGAGTATAACCTGGAGTATAACCTGGAGAATAACCTGGAGTATAACCCGGAGTATAACCCGGAGTATAATCTGGAGTATAACCCAGAGTATAACCCGAAGTATAACCCGGAGTATAACCTGGAGTATAACCCGGAGTATAACCTGGAGTATAGCCCGGAGTATAACCTGGAGTATAGCCCAGGTTTACTCTATATGGAGTAACCCGGGTTATAATAAATAACTCTGCTCCGGGTTACTATATAATTTTAAAAATCTCAACCCACTCCAACTCTAGACTGGAGTATAACCCGGGTTGCTCCGGAGTATGTTGCTCCATTAACAACCCTAATAATAATCATAGTTGAAATTTTGCAAGTTTATGCACTAATGTTACACCAAAGTACTTGCGTAGTAATACAAAAAAGTACTTAATTGTAATTGGTTAATTTAAAAATATATTAAAAAATTTCAATTTTTTAAATTTTTTTTTAAAAATTAACCAACTTTGAGATTTTTTTAAGCAATATATAATCAAAAATTAATTTAATTTTTTTTTAT